CTGATAATAAGGCCCAAGCCATATTTTGTGGGTCAAAAGAAAATAAGACCCTGTCTTATTTTCGGGGAAACACAGTATGTAGCCACAAAAAAATTATTTCTAAAATGCCAAGGTCATCCTTTGTCTTTGCATCTCTACACCTGACCGGAATTGGATGGGTGGAACTGCCAGCATGGCAGTGGGAGATTGGACCATGTGATGGACTTGTGGATGTGGGGGCAAGATCTTGAACTTTCAACTGGGTGGGGAAAATGGGGAAGCTTTCAGATTCGTGTTTTCTCAGAAGTGCCAAAATGACTCTCTTAATAAATTGGAACTTTGAGCAATACTTTGCCTTGGACTCTGATTTACTTTTGGATGCTATTTGGAACCCTGATAGTTACTGGGAGAAATAAGAATCTGCCCATTCTAAAAACTTTTTCAAGAGCAAAACAGTACCATATGTCAGATGGTGAGAGGGAGACCTAGCACAACTCTTCTTCCTTTACAAACCATTCAATACAGCATAAGGCCTCCACCCCCACCCTTAAATCAGCGATAGGTTAATCTAGTTCCACATTTTGTTTCACAAAGTTAGAAATCTCACAAATATTGCTTTGCTTTTCTGCGTAAATAAATAAAATTAATTTCATAAAGAGTATATTATTCCTCTTATTAAGAAATAATTTCCTAACATGTGACTAAAAGAAAACCATACAGGTTTTTTTTTTTAAAAAGCCTTAAAATAGTTAAGGGATATTCAACTGGCTGACAGAGATCTGTAACATTTTACATGTAACAAGACATACAACTTCTGATTTAAGTAAGATCTTTGCAATTTTTCTCGGAGGCACAAAGGACGTCTGTTTGGGGTTCCCTTCACTTCCTGAGAGTGAAAAACATAGCAAAGCCTTGTGATTGTCAGCCAAAGTCAGGACAAAAAAGCCTTTGTATACCTGATTGAGGTAGAAGTAGTCTTTAGGCTGCTTGAGGTGGAATTCTTTGCGCTCTTCTTCGCTGGCACCAAGCAGCAAATAATAAAATACATGGTAGTTCCTACAGAAACAAACACACCAGCCTCCCATTAGAAGTACTTTGGTCTGACTCCCAATTCCATTATTCTTACCTGGGCATCTTCAGTAAAATCACTAAGATGACCTAAAATTAATATCAGAAACATCTGGGATCTATAAGGATCCTTTAAAACAGGGGTGTCAACCTTAAGGCCTGGGGGCCAGATTCTGCCCGGGCGTGCTGAAGATCTCGCCCACAGGGCCACCCTGGAAAGAGTGAAGGATTGGCCTGTGGTGCTTCTGCCAGAGAAAACAGACTCCGGAGTTCCGTTTTTTGGCTGGGCCGGCCTCCTGCAACCCTCTGCCAGCGAAAACGGAGCTCAGGAGTCCATTCTTCCTGGCAGAGCATTTGGCCCATCACAGGCACCCCTAATATGAGTGACGTCAAGTTGCCACCACTCCCCCAGGTCAAACACAAGCCTGATGCGGCCCTCAATGAAATCGAGTTTGACACCCCTACTTTAAAAGAAACAATTTAATCCAATATTAATATCGGCTTTTGAGAATCTGGTTTTTGTAGAGAGATAAGGACCTTTTAGTTGATGGCATCAATAGCATGGAACTCCTTCCAAGTGGGGTGGTACCTTTACTTCCAATTCATTTTTACTCTGAAATGTTTTAATCTATAAACTCTTTTCAATTGTTAAAGTATTTAATATGCTCTTTAGTAACATATCCATCAAAGGAAATACCTTCAGGCATCTTTCTTGATAAAGCCATACCCTGTTCCTCAGCTGACATTTATTTACACAAAAGTATACAGACCCCCTTTGTGAAATTATTTTTAATCAAAATAAAACTAAATAGAATTATGGCATGTAGTATACTGGCATGGTTTGTTAGCGTTCTAAGTAGAAGTGAATGCAATCCAGTGTATTGTTTTGAACATGTACTCATCTGTTCAGAAAAAGCAAAGGTAAGCCACACTTAGAATGTTCCTTGGAATTGGAAGAAACAATAAGCAACAACCTTTCTAATTTGTGCTCATTAAATGGGAATTGTGTAACTCAGCATGCTTGGAATATTATGTGAATAGGTAAGTTTGCCTTCAGCAAACATTTTATGATTGTAGCTGTAACATGTTTTCTAAATCCACTGGTGATGGAGCTTCTGGGCTAAAAGACTGTATTTTAATTATTTGGTTCCCCGATGTTTTGCCAACAATTCTGGCTGACGTCTTCAGAGATAAAATTCCAAAGGAGCTGTTTGGGATGGTTTGTCTTTAAAACACACCACTGTTTATTATTTTTCAGGTGAGACTCCTGAAGATTCTAAATGGGGTTCATTAATTAAGGGCTATTTTGTTATATTTTGTTGGGACATAGAGAGCTGGAAACCAGACTTTGTTAACCTTCATTTTCTTCTTTCTTGTTAAAGTTATTGAAATGTTTATAAATCTCAATAGCTTCTCTATGGAGTCATGCAGGATGATCTGACATGTTTGCTTTGAAACAACAGTGTGTTTCAAAGAAAGACCAATTAAAAATGAAAATTATTTCAAATCCGATGAACCAAATTCACCTGGATGAATAACCAGGTCAAACCTGGTTTTCCAAAATTCAGATGACATGTCATTTGAACATTAATACAGTTGTAAACGAAAGCAATTAACCTCTTTCTGCATTCTTGTTTGATACACGATACTTTTTTTTTGTAAAGTACAAAATGAATGTCACTGATTATGCTGCCTGGATGAAGCAAAAATGAAGCCTCTGTTACAGAGTCCATAACCCCTTACCTTTCATTTTTTTCCTGAGACACCAAGCGAGATTTTTCAAGGAGATATTTTTCAACCACAGCCCTGGGAGCCAAGAAAAAAAAAACAGTGCAAAAGCAGACCTTATACATTTATCAAAATCTCTTTCAAGACAGAACACAGCACAGTGCTGAGATAATTGCTTATGAATGTAGGAACTAGTTTTTTCTTTTGAATTCTATTGTCCATTACCAGAATTACAACTTGATTGCACAGTGAGAACATGTGTGCAGCACTTACCCTCGGACAATGCCATTCTCTAAGTAGTTGACCTGGATGAATTTTCCAAAACGACTTGAGTTGTTATTGTGGGCTGTCTTTGCATTCCCAAAGGCCTGAAATGAAGCAAAAAGACTTTATTTCCAATGATTATGATACAGTACTGTGTGTTCTGGCTGACAACTTTCTAATGTTTTAAGGCTGCTACGTCTGTAGTTTGAAACCCTATAACTGAAAATGGCAGGAACAAAATGCAAGTCAGATGCTTTACCATCGGCTATGCTTCCATATAGTAACTGTAATTTGCCTCATACTTAACTAGGATATTAGGAACTGTAATGGTGCAGTGGTTAGAATGCAGTATTGCAGGCTAACTGTGCCCATGGACAGGAGTTTGATTCTGGTCGCCTCAGAATCAACTCAGCCTTCCATCCTTCCAAGGTTGTAAAATGAGGACCCAGATTGTTGGGGGCATTGTAAACTGCTCACAGAGTGCTGTAAAGCACTATGGAGCAAAATATAAGTCTAACAGCTATTGCTGCTGCTATTGCTATATTGGTTTAGTCTAACCCTGTATTACTTATAGCTGTCTGAATTTTCTCCAAGTCTTAGAGATGCCAACAATGAACCAAGGATATTGTTTATGTAATGCATGTGCTCTGCTACTGGAGTACAGTTCCTACTGCTAGCTAGCTAAATTTTAATTTTTTAGCCATTAAACCCCATACAATGGGACAAGTAGAAGCATTTATTGTCAAAGACCAAAAGAGAAACAATACAATAATAAGNCAATAGCAGAGCTTCTAATGTATTTAAGGTATTTGAACGTACTTGAAAAATTCTTGAAAAGCTCCATAGAGAGATGTATCTGCCTTGAAAGCAGCCCATGTTGCACATTCAAACATTAGCAACTGATTATAAAAATGTTTTAGAATGTTTTATATTGTGCCATAAAATGTTTTATGACAACATACATTTGATTGCAATAATTTTTATGTTAAAAGTTTAATATTGGAAAGTAATTTATAAACACCATACTTAATAGAAAATAAAATAAAATATAGAGGTTTGCAAACTGAAATCTGTCAGCAAGATGTCAAATCCCAAATCAATATTGCTGTCATTCAACCTGTTTTTACACATATTATTATCTTGCTGTAAAGTTAAAAAACACCATTTTTAATCTGCAAAATAAAGAGCACAAATCCTTCTTTTCTTCCATTGCTTACCTGTTCAAGCTTGAAAATGTGTTGATTGAAGTAATACTGCAACTGCTCATTTGCATAGTTTATGCAGAACTGTTCAAAACTGTTTGTTTTGAAGTCTTCAAAACCAAAGATATCGAGTACCCCAATGGACAAACACTAGGCATGGGAAGGGATGGGAACAGAATCAGGAGACTGGCATGACTATATCGATGTGCTCAAAACCAAATATACTGTAAGAGGTCCCTTCTCAAAATCAGACCCCCCCCCCATCTGTTTAAAAAAATAGCCAGGTGACAGGCAGTTCCACAACTCAGAAGCAAGAATCATCTGTTTCCTGGAAGCATACCGTAACAGACTCTTCCATATCCTTCTTGTTGAGAAGTGCATGGTTAATTCGCAGAACTATCCAGTCAAAGAGGGCACTGTACAAAGACTTCGCCATAGAATCACGAGCTGTGATGGCCTGCAAATTAAAAGCACCAAGAAAGCTCCATTGTAACTTTGTTTTTCCTCATTTATTTATTTGTTGGTTTGTTCAATTTCTATAGCCCCCCGTCTCAGTCAATGACTCTGGGAGGCTTACAATCCCAAACAATACATTACAGTTAAAAATATTAAAAACATTTTAAAACAATAAAAACAATAGCCAGGAAATGAGGCCCTGGACATATTCGTCACCCTAGGCTTGGGAATAAGCCAGGTTTTTAGGGCTTTATGAATCTCTAGCACATTCTGATCCCCAAGGGAAGGCTGTTAAATAGAGAAGGGGCCACTGTGCAAAAAACTTGTCTTCTGATCCTCGCCAGCCAACATTCTTTGGCGGATGGGATCTGCAGCATGCCCATTCCGCTTGATCTAGTTGGACAGGTAGAATTTCTTCAAAAAAAAAGTGATCCTTCAGGTAACCTGTATTGTTCTTGAGCCTTTCTGAGGGACATGAAAAATCACTAAACATTGCTAGCGTTTTTATTAATTGGTTTCCAAGGAATCATCACCATACTTATATAATTTATATTTTCCATTTTATGCCCCCTGATTCCAATTAAGCATCTCATAATTGCAAAAAACATACCATCTTTTAGATATCAGCAGAAAAAAAATTAAGACTGTAGAGGGGGAAACCAATTACTTTTTTAAAAAAAAATATGCTACTTAAGCAATATCCTCTGGAGATTGGAAATTTTTATTTTGACACTGCACTATAGTTTTCTTTTGGTGTTACTGAATTTTAATTAGCTTTATTGCTTTGTGACTATACACTCTCAGAATTGTTACAAGTTATCCTATAAATATTATATATGAAAAAATAAAGTTGCCCTTACAATTTGAGCCATCTGTAATTTTATTTTATTTTTAAAAAATCTTACTAACCCCAATCTACCATTAGGAACTCACCTCATTGAGGCTATATGGAAGGATCAGTTTGTCATTCACTGTCACAGTTTTTCTTTTTGTCAACACTTCCACTAAGGTTTCACGTTTCACCTGGGAGAAGAGCTGAAATTAACAACCTGACATGGAAATACAGGATGAAAATGACCTGTAATTATCTGTAATTTTGATAATCAAAATTCCTGTAGGTTGTAACTTATCCAGTTCCTATAAAGTTGCTGCAGAAAATGGAGAATCCCCCTGGTTGGTTTTAATCTTAAGCTTTGAAGCAAGATAGTGTAAATGACAAAATATTGTCTCCCTTTTAAAAGGGAGATTTGATAATGCAACAGATTTTGCATTACAAAACATCTCACATGTAATCGTGTAACATCGCACTTATAACTTTCCATTAGCACACCATCATTAGCATGCAAATACAGACTTTTTATTGTTTTCCATTCATTTCCTAATAGCCTTGATTCACATGCTTGGTCTGCCATATACCCTGAAATAGGACTGGATTGGATCATGACTACTTAAAAGTCAACCTTTTCTTATATATCAATGTTCAAATTGCATTCAATGCTGCTCCAAATGCATTCACAGACCAAGATTTCATGTATCTATTATTGGATCAGGGTCCAATAATAGCAACGATTTCATGAAATATTAACTTCAAAAAGTACTGCTTATGTTTAGCACTTCTGACTTTTTCTGAAGGCAGGGAAGTTAACAGTGCACATTTTTTCTTCCCTACTCAGATATTTATTTAGCGTAAATGTTTGCTTGATTTTTAAGTTTTAAAATGTAAGTAGTTTCAAGTNATGCTTGATACTTTAAAATATATGGTATCATATGAATGGGGTTTGGGAAGGTAGAGAAAAAGAAGAAAAATGCTAACCTCTGACGTTATAATTGAAATATTTTCATTTTTTTTCTTTTGAGCTGCTTATAGCACCCAAGCTATGAAAGGTAACTGGACTAAGTTCTAAAAGCTTATCTCTCATTGGAAACATCTGCTGAATCCAGTTGGAAATTATTTTGCATCCCTAATCTTTATAATGCAGATATGTATTAAAGTACATGTTCAAGTTTTATATTACTTCTACCACATTATATGAATCATTTTCATTTCTATGAAAAATATTGTTCTATCAACTCTGAAAGTTGCCAGTAGGTTGCTCTCAAAAAGGGGGTGAACCCAATGATGGGGAAGGCGTTAGAAGTTTTAAAAGGTAAAATAATCTTAAACCTTGTAATTAGTTTTTCTTTCACCCTAAATTCCAAAATTAAGGGAGAAAAGAGGTGAAAACATTTAGCTTCATTCATCTGAGGGAGAAGGGTAGCTCTTAAAGTAAAAATGGTTTTTTTTTGCAAACTATACTTTGGCACTCTTTTTCAGCTTGCATAATTACACTGCCTGTAATGATATAAACATATTAAAAATATGATATGATCTCATACACATGGTATTTAAACAAAGAATAAGTTACCCCAAATCTTTTTTAAAAACTCCAGGTAGAAATACTATTAGCTATCAAACTAATATGGTAAATGCTTGATTGCTTGATTATTTTTTAAGGTATAGGAAAATTCTCCCCTTCGGAACTTAAAACTTTCCTCCCTCATGGAAAGCTAGTTGCTGAAATTCTGGAAAATGCAAACTTGTAGAATAGGATAAATACTATGAATTTCTCTACCTTTCTTTAATTCACCAAGTTTTATCTATCAGGATCTATCTCTCCATCCATCCAGAGTCCCAGTGACTTAAAACAAGCAATTAAAAATAGAGTAATATGCTGAAAAAACCTATTAACAATTAGAAGGTGTTAAGTTCCAATTGCTCTCTGGAAGAGCTCTGACTTCATTTTTCTTTTTGCGGGGGTGGGGGGGGTGGGAGAAGCAGATAATGTTAGAGCTAATAAAACTCCAACAGGAAGCCATTCCAGAGAGCCAGCCATAATGATTCAAATTGAACAAAATGCTTTGCTAATTGATCATAGTGGCCAGATGGCAGTTCTTAGAGAGGAATTAGTCCCCCAAAAGGGCACCTGGACAACAATCCCTTGATATAATAAGGAGCAGTAAGAACTCTTTCACTAGCTTAGTGCCGTGGAGTAGGCCTGAATTTGGCATATATCCTTACAGTGCTCAATCAGATTCACACTACATTGTTCTCTACTTGTTCTCAAAAGCATTGCTTCTGCAGCTTCATCTCCTGGAGACTCTGTGAAATCCAAAAAGCCACCAAGGATGAGCTGCAGAGAAAAGCTATTGGGCAATGATTCATTAAGGATCAGAGATGTTGCCTTTTACAAGGAATAATAAAGGCTCTTGACTAATTCACACACCATATGGTCTGGGAAATCCCTAAGTGCCCATGAGAAACCATTTAAATCCAACAGTGAAGGGGCAGAACTTTTGGATGCATCTAGTTCTGTGATGGATAAAGACAACAATACCTGCACCAGGAAGTGATCTAGGATAAAGATAAGATCCAGAACACATAATAGCAGCTCCAAGATAAAAACAAGAATTAATATGTGATCACTTATTTGATGGAGCCAAGATTACCTGGGACAAATCTGCAGTTGCTTGGAAGCAACGTAGTCCTAGACTTTACTGGATCTAATCTCTTCCACATGGAGGTTGAAGTCTCCAGAGTACCAAGAACTGGGTAAAGATCTCCACCACGGCCAGGACCCAAGAGCCCAGGGAGGGATCCCAAAGGGTAGGTAGCCAATACACCCAAGTGCCTTTACTTACCCTTAAGGTAGAAGCTAATTTATATAGGCATTCATACCTGATACCTCATTATAGTGATCTTGGATGTAGACAAGAATTCACAATAGATCAATAAGACCCGAGTTCTAGAATCAATATTGGTGCAGAATCTGAAACCTGCCTGTGCATGTTTCTGAGAAGGCAAAATTTCAGTTTCAATCATTACATCAAGCCTGTCTACTTGTCCATCATCAAGTCTTGGATCTTTATCCATTTTCTCAGTAGAGATTCTTAGTCATCCAAGTCATGATTGTCCCAAAGGTGCTTTTTCAGGAGGCAACTGGACTTTATTTTTTTCTTTTGAAGACGTTTCACTTCTCTTCCAATAAGCTTCTTCAGCTCTGACTGGATGGTGGGGAATGGAAGGATTTATACTCCTTGCAGACAGCTGGTCATTTGCATCCTTTAGAGCAGTGTTTTTCAACCACTGTGCCGTGGCACAGTAGTGTGCCATGACATAGTGTAAGGTGTGCCGTGGGAAAAACATTTATATATAGTCAATATAGGCAAAGAGTTAATTTTTTTTAACATTTTCTAATGGTGGTGTGCCTCGTGATTTTTTTCATGAAAAAAGTGTGCCTTTGCACAAAAAAGGTTGAAAAACACTGCTTTAGAGGGTTGTTGAAGCCCTTGGAGGTTTATCTGTGTCCTCAAAGTCACCTGAGTGGTGCTCCAGGTTCCTGTGGTCTGCAATTGTTCTCTGGAAATCCATTCCTACTCCCACACCATGGATTGGATGAGAAGAGAAACGTCTTCAAAAGAAAAAAAAAAGAAAGTCCAGTTGCCCCCTGAAAAAGCACCTTTGGGATAGAGACCTGATGCTAGTTAACAACAACTTGAGGCCACATTCCTTGGTAATCAGGTCTGGATCCCCACAAAGCAGCAGCTGTATTAGAAGGAAACTGTCATCAAATTGAAGACCACTTCCTTGAAATAGCTCTCTGGCACCCCATCAGCAATGGAATAGGATAGTCAAGTAGAATTGGGGGGTGGGGGGGAGAATCATGCCAATTCCAATGACTTAAAACACTCGATCTAGAATCCCTCAGTCCTTCAAACCCCATAAATTCGAAGTGGAAGCAAATCAGCCTCTTCCATTGGCCCTAAATATGGAAATCCAGCCCTTCGGCTTACATTCCTACTGCAGATCAGGCCATCCACACTTTTCTGGTTTCTCACACAGAGGCCATCCACCCTAGATAGGTCAAGCTCCAGCTTTAAATCTTAGCAACTCCAGATAGGAAAAAAAAGACCCAATACATAGTATGGCACAAGGAAACTTCTTATATTCCTAATCTATATTGAAAAATATTGCACCTAAGAATACTTGAGACAAATGGTTTTTAACCAAGATAGCTCAATTCTAGAGGTGGACATCTGATAGATAAACAATATAAATACATGTGCATATATGATGACCATAGACATGTTTCCTCCACCTTCTCTCCCCAACCCCCAGCTGTCAATTATTAGTAGCATCCGGTATTCTATAGTTAGCAGACCCAAAAGGGGATTCGTCTGATCTTCCTGTTTTGGGTGAGAATGACAAGTGAAGCCTTCAAAAGTCAGCAAGACTTTGAAAAGTCAACTTCTGCTTTCTGGGGGGCTATTGGAATAGGCAGACATACGTAGGCTTCTAAACCATCTTGCTCATTCTAAGAACACAAAAAAACTTTTATAAATTGAAATACAAAAAATATCTAACAGTTTGCTGTGTTTTGTTGTAGTTTGCTGATAAAGCACAGATCCAAGAGAAAGGGGCTATAGTACTGTAATGAAGAACTACGAATCCCGAATTTTCTGTTGCTAAGCAAGACAATTGTTAAATGAGTTTTGGCCCATTTTACGTCCCTGTTTGTCCCAGTTGTTAAGTCAAACACTGAAGCTGTTAGTAACACCGTTGTTAAGTGAATCTGGCTTCTCCACTGACTTTGCTTGTCAGGTTGCAAGGTTGACACCAGGACATTGCAACCATCATAAATATAGACCAGTTGCCAAGCGTCCTAATTTTGATCATGTGACCATGGGGATGCTGCAACCGTTGTAAGTGTGAAAAATGCTAATAAGTCACTTTTTCACTGCTGTTGTAACTTCAAATGATCACTAAACCAATGATTTCTTAAGCCGAAGGCTACCTGTATTGATACTATCAAAATAGTGTATGCAATGGAAGTGATTCATATGATCTATTAGCCTGAACAATAAAGGCTGAAAATCAAGAAGCATAAAAAAAACAGGCTCAAAACAGAAGCCTACAATAAAAAGAGACTGAGACATATTGACTTCCAGATGTTATTGCACTAAAGCTTCCAACATCCTCAGCAGGTACAACCAACAGTAATGAATTCTGGCAGTTGTAGTCAGCCCATCTGAAATGCCCTGCATTTGATTTACAAGTTGATACTGTTATGTTCTGTGGGGGGGAAAAGTCAGTTATATGAATTTCAGCTGTCTTTTTTCCAAATGCACTACTGTAGTACTTAGCAAAGAGGCTGGATGCAGACTTTAAAGGCAATTAGTGTCTAGCACAAAGTCTTGTTTCTTTATCTTCAGTTGTAAAAATTCACACAGCCAAATATGACTAAATAAGGCAAGATTTTTGAAAGCCAACACAGACATTTACAAATTTAAAAAAAATTCGGAAGGAAAAAAAATATGTGGAGGAAGCTCTTTTGGAAAGGTTTGGGAGAGTCTTGTGCAGAAAAAGAAAGCCCAGCCAGAAATGGAAGAAAGGGTTTCATTTGAAAGCTTCCTTCCAACATCCAAGTCCAAAACCTCAAAACATTGTGAAGTTTTAAAACCACATTGAAGTCATCTTTAATTATCTCAGTTTAAGAAAGTATTTACAAATATATATCCGTGTGTTTGTGTGTGTGCATGCGCAAACACATGTACATGTATGTAAATATAAATATACATATATACCATGATGTAAGACCATACACCAGAGTAATATACATGTTGCACAGAACATGACGTACATATGGAAACGTATGAATAGTTTTTTCTCCCTAACTACTTCTGTAAGGATTATTTTTTATATGATTCATGTTGTCTTGGGTACTTATATGGACTGCACCCAGCAGAGGCTAAACCAATTTCGTTGTATACATGATGTACAATGACAATAAAGGCTTTGAATTTGAATATATATATATATATTTTACCTCCAGCACGGGTCCAGCTCCCAAAATAGTTCTCTCCACTCCGCTAGCATAACCCTTTTGACTCAGGGCAGTGAGGCAGTGGATCAAGAAGTTTGTGCTTTGGGTTTTTCCTGATCCGCTCTCGCCAGAAATAACAATGCACTGATTCATGTGTTTCTTCAGCATAGCGTGGTAGGCTACATCAGCGATGGCAAAGATGTGGGGCTCCAGCTTCCCAAGTTGGTGGTTCTCGTACATCTGGACGTACTTGGGGTTGTAGATGGGCAGAAATTTGAAAGGGTTGATGGCAATGAGGATGCTGCCCACGTAGGTGTAGATCTTCTGTTTCAGGAAACGCCGCTTGAGGTTTTCCAACAGGGTGGTCTCCGTCAAATTAGGGAGGTTACACATATCATTGAAATGTTGCCAAGGAAGGAAGCCCCTTTCAACCAGTCGCCGGGCTTCCTCCTGGTTCTCTTCCTCGCAGGTCTGTTGCATGTGGACATATTTGATAGTCCCATCAGCATTCCTCTCTTGTAAAACAAAATAATAACCATCTTCCCGAGGATGGTCATCCTGGGCCCGGCGAGGCCAAAGCAGAACCCTATGGACAGGAGGATCATTCCCATCTAATACCCATTCTTCTCCCCCTGTCTCCTTCACCTCCACAAGTACATAATGCTTAGATAGGTCCAAACTCAAGGAGACGATAACATCCTTAATCACCTCGGTGGCTGTGGCATCCTTAGTTGCTGTTACCCTGCAACAGGAACTGTGTTCTATTGAGAGCTGAGGATAGATATGAAGGGCATAGGTTACATTCTCTGGAGAAGCTGCACTGCTGACATCTTTTAAACTCATCCTGGACCATGCCCTGCCTCGGCATGCCGCCCCGGCTTGATGCACTGGGCCAGTTATCTGAAAACAAAGAAGGAGAATATCAGAAATATATCCGGATTTGAGATGCTGTCACAGCAGTAACATCCCTAATCATTTTCAAGTAGGGTCAGGAGTTTGTGGTTGACAAGATAAGAAGGAAAAGATAACAAGAGAAGACCAATAAAAATGTAAATGTAATGACTACAGGAAAGGCATAAGGACAAATACGAAAACATTGTCAGCACCTATAAAAGCATTTTTAAAGCTTTGGATTGCAACGTTTGACTGGGTAAAAAAATGCAAATTCCATATCCCCAGATTCCTAGCTGGTGTTTCATTTTTTAGCAATAATAACAGGAATGGGGGGAACTCTAAAGGTGCAGGCCAATCATAGGGTTCCTTTCTTCCAAGCACAGGTACAGTATAGGTGGTACTTTGCTCAACAGTAGTAAATGTGAGAGGGATCTTGGAGTCCTAGTGGACAACCATTTAAATATGAGCCAGCAGTGTGAAGCAGCTGCCAAAAAAGCCAACACAGTTCTAGGCTGCATAAATAGAGGGATAGAATCAAGATCACGTGAAGTGTTAATACCACTTTATAATGCCTTGGTAAGGCCACACTTGAAATACTGCATTCAGTTTTGGTCACCACGATGTAGAAAAGATGTGGAGACTCTAGAAAGAGTGCAGAGAAGAGCAACAAAGATGATTAGGGTACTGGAGACTAAAACATATGAAGAACGGTTGCAGGAACTGGGTATGTCTAGTTTAATAGAAAGAAGGACTAGGGGAGACATGATAGCAGTGTTCCAATATCTCAGGGATTGCCACAAAGAAGAGGGAGTCAAGCATACAAGTTGTTTTCGCCACACTATTTTTTTCTACTATCTCCACAAAAGTGTCTCTTTGCAACAACACACATCAATCACTCAGCAGGAGGAAATAACTGTTGAGTTCTGAACTGAAGAAGCTTCTTGGATGAGAAGCAAAACATTTTCAAAGGAAAAAAAATAAAACAAGGAAGTCCAGTTGCCTTTTGGAAAAAGCTTCTTTGGTGTTTTAAGATGTAACTTGTGCAAAGGGTCTCCTAGCCACAGTCTCCAACTGCTATTCAACCCAAAGCTGGGAGTCCAGAAGGATTTCCAAGCTGTGAGCCAAATTGATATTGACAGACCCCTGCCAAAACTGACAATCCGAGCTACAAATATTCTCAAGAATTTCTAACCAAATTGATATATCTGCAAATATATCAAACCGGCCAAACAGACAGTTCAAGCCCATGCAGTGGAGATACAGAGAGTTTGAGCTCTAGGCCAAAAATCTCCAATAATGACGTATCATCTCAGTAATTCACAAGTGGGAAGCCATTCTTTCCTCAAACTGCAATAAGGGGACATAAGCATATTCTACCTATGGATTCTTCTTGCTAGCTTCCTGGAGATATTTGGCTAATCACTAACCTGCGGGCAGGCTCAGAAGTAAATTAATACTGTCTCAACAGTTAAAAATCTACAAATCCACAGTACACTGAGTAAGACAGTGCCAAATCAAAGAAGAGTAGGCTTCTTATATCTTGAAGTGAAATAATTTGAGTCTTCCTTCAGCAAGCACTTAATCTCTCGGAATGACCCAGAGGTCCTTTTCAAAAGGCAACTGGACTTTCTTGTTTTCTTTTTCCTTGAAAACATTTCAGTTCTCATCCAAGAAACTTTTTCAATTCTGACCCATGACCCATATGATTGAGAATCTCCACAGACCTCTCTGTATGACTTTCTTCAGATATATGTTACAGTACAGAGGAATTTTAGCAATTGTCAAAATTGTGGAAACCGCCTACTATACAGTCCACAGAATATAGGTTTTTTTAAAAAAAGAAATCTATAGGAACTGAAAGTTTCCTACAGGATGCAGCAACAACTTTTTAAAATGTACTATCATGTAATAACTGGTTTACAGATAAATACGCAGTTGACATGACTGCTGTATTCTATGTTCCGGACCTTTTACTTTCAGTTTATCAGAAAGGGGTGACATAAAGGGGTGACACTTGACATAAAGAGAAATGCAGAAAAATTGATAACTAAGGCTACTATACAAGAGAACATTAGTAGGCAGCAAGTTTTTAACCAAGGATTTTTAGTTTTTTCCTCTAAAGAACAGGGGAAAAATAAAAAAGAAACAGTAAGATAACTTGCACACCTCATACAATACAATAGCAGAGTTGGAAGGGACCTTGGAGGTCTTTTAGTCCAACCCCCTGCCTAGGCAGGAAACCCTATACCGTTTCAGACAGACGGCTATCCAACATCTTCTTAAAGACTTGCGGGGTTGGGGCATTCACAACTTCTGGAGGCAAGCTGTTCCACTGATTAATTGTTGTAACTGTCTGGAAATTTCTCCTCAGTTGTAAGTCGCTTCTCTCCTTGATTAGTTTCCACCCATTGCTTCTTGTTCTACCCCAGGTGCCTTGGAAAATAGTTTGACTCCCTCTTCTTTGTGGCAACCCCTGAGATATTGGAACACTGCTATCATGTCTCCCCTAGTCCTTCTTTCTATTAAACTAGACATACCCAGTTCCTGCAACCGTTCTTCATATGTTTTAGTCTCCAGTACCCTAATCATCTTTGTTGCTCTTCTCTGCATTCTTTCTAGAGTGTCCACATCTTTTCTACATCGTGGTGTACATTTGAACAGACTCAATAAAGGCAATGCCTTATCTTTATCAGTGTCGACTGTCAACCCCCCCAGGGGAGGGCCTTCTCTGTGGCTGCTCCGGCCCTCTGGAACGATCTCCCCGTGGAGATTCGGACCCTGACCACCCTTCAGCCTTTCCGCAAAGCTGTTAAAACCTGGCTGTTCTGGCAGGCCTGGGGCAGATGAGTTTCCAGCCCCACTTGAATTGTTGCGGCTGTTGATGAGTTTTTTAATCTGTTTTTTGTATTTTGTTTTGTCTTGTCTGTTTGCTTTGTATTGCCCCTTCCCTATTTGGTTTGTTAGCCGCCCTGAGTCCCCTCGGGAATAGGGCTACATACAAGTTTAATAAACTAACTTACTAACTTATAATAGAATTTTAATTCAGCAGATTGAATTCATTTCACTTCCAATCTCATAAAACAGTTTTAGTTGTAAAACATCCCGCTTTCTAAGAGAAAATTACTTTGCCTACATACGAAGTAATGGTTATTATTCTGAGCATGGCTATGAAACTGGACCGAGATCCAAATAGTGCTATCTACACTGCAAATTAGGACTATTAAAAAACATAACAGAAGGTAAAAAATGTTTGGATAGGGGAGGCAAACTAACTCAGAAAGCCTCCCTAAATATTGGTTATCCCTATCCCAAGGGTTGAACGATCTGGAGAAAACTGATGGAGGAACAACTGCATAAGAGATAAAAAGGGAATGACTCCTTAAATACGTTACAAAAATGAGTAAGATAAAAATAGCATGTAAGAAAGTTGTTTATTCTGTATCTGAAAAGAATGAAAACGACTGATACAAAGATATGCTAACACAAATTAATTCCACTAATATTATAAGCAGGATTTGCACCAAAGGTTATTCAAATACTTTTTTCACAAAAACACACTTCTGTGCTCTAAGCTGTTTAGTATATGGTATATATATGAAACTATTAGGAAAGGTTATCTAGAGTTTTGAAGTGTAGTACTTTCAGGATGCTGACAACATCTAACCATAGGTGTGAATAGCAAGCCGCTATGAACTCCAAATAAAAACTCACATATTATATAAATGATGTAGTTATGATTGCCTCATAGAGACTCTAGAAACTCATGACACACACTGTATGTAACTTACAATATCTGCATGATGATGTTGCAACATGCATGTTATAATTTGTCCTCATCCCACCCATTTTTCTATTAATGCCTACATACCTAACCCTATCTTTTCTTGATATCAAAATTTTAAATCCTGATGTGATTGGGGCCAAAAATAAATGTAATCTAGTCAAAGAAAATACAGTTTTTACTGAGTTCAAAGGGAAATCAAGGAAGAGATTAAATTGCCTGAGTATGGTTATTTTTCCTTTTGATTACAGATAATCCTTGATTTACAACCGTAATGGAGCCTGCCCATTACTGTCTTAAATTGTAATTACCATAAAGTGAGTCACTTGAGTGGACCCGTTTTTATTATTGTTTTTGTGGTGGCCATTAAACAAAACCATTATTTGGTAAAGGGTTCTTTTTGCTCAAAAACTTAAAGTAAATGCCCTTTTATGCCAAAATGTTGTAAATCAGAGTCATGTGACCATGAAATGTTGGAAATGGCCATAAATAGAGAAGGCCAGTCATCGGAACTGGCTCATAAGTACCTTTGAGGATCCATTGCAACTATGGATGGTCTCTGAGTGACCAATCTGTACTCAAATTCACTGTTCAAGTATATTCCTGAACTGGGATGTCCATATTTCATTGCGACCAGAAGGGCTTTTGTAAAAATAAAAGGAATATTCCAGCTGCATTTTTTTTCTTAAAAACTCCAGATGTAACCACGGTAACACGTTTCAATTACCTTGAAACTGTATTACTGGATTATTGTAGGATATCCTGTAGGGCTGTCTTGTTGTGACCAATTATATGATACATCAAATTTCCTTGTTTAAAGCTTCATTAGCAACTTATCACTAATTAGGAATAATTTGACTTGCACATTGTTTAATACCAGTATATTGCATTCTCCTTTACAAATCTGACCAGAATCTTTGGAAGATACCCATTTCACTGCCTCACCATTATGGAGACATATTTTATAAGAGCATAAAGCAATCTTTCAAGTGAGTACTTGGAAGCTCTCAAATTTCTTGCCAAGATCAGATTCCTTTTTTCTCCATTATCCTGGTACTGAGAGAGAACATGTTTCCAAGCAGGCCATCCAAACAGAAGCTACACTTGGGTGATATATCTGTTTTACTACAATCTTAATTAAAATTTAACTTTATGTGTAAACACACATTTTATTTTTGAATAGCCACTTTCAGAAACAGTTTTGGCAGAAAGTCATTATA